TCCCAGCTTTTTATTTCACCTTGAAACATTTCTTAAACACTGACTACCTGTCGCTATGGTTGTCTGATTATCTGATTGGCCGCCTATGAAATCAGTGAGGAAAACGCTACAGTTTCAAGCCAATTATCCGTCTCCAGCTTTGCCTACAGCCCACAGCCATGGAAATGCTATTCATCAGTGTTCATTCGCTGAAGAGCCGTGAGGACTGAACTTCATGACTCACAATGGCTGGGATTAACAAACTTTTGTTTTCGAGCCGTTTTCTTGCCTCCTGTGAATTGCCGTTTTTGCTAAAAATAACACAAGTGAGCATGTGGCCGTGATGAGCTGGCGTGCACAGCGCCGAGCAGTCCGGCTGCGGCTCCGGCTCTCATCACCTGGGTGAATTTCTTCGAATTTAAATAAAGACTCTACCATTTAAGACGGAATAATTTGCAACAACATGGATGAACCCGGAGAACATTATGCTGAGTGGAATAAGCCAGACTCGGACAGACAAATACTTCATAATATCACTCAAGTGTGACACCTAAAACCCCAAACCCAGGGGCAGAGAAGGGAAGGACGACCGGGGCTGGAGGCTGCGGGGATGGGAGGACGCCGGGCAGAGGCACACGCGTGCAGTTGTGAGATGACTGCGTCCTGCAGAGCCTCACGGTCATGCCGACTGAGGACGCACTGTGCACGCGAACGTGGCGAAGAGAGCAAACCTCGAGTGTGCTGGCCAGATGGAAGTCAGGCAATGGACGTACTTGTGAGCTGGAGTGTGGAGTCATTTCACAATACATATGCATGTTACCCTCTCACATTGGGCACCTTAAATACGTGCAATGCTTATGTGTCAGTCGCATCTCAATAAAGCTGTAAAAAGCTTCCCATCTCGCCCTGGCCGATTGGCTCAGTCCGTTGACCTATGGACTGAAGGGTCCCGGGTTCGATCCCGGTCAAGGGCACAGGCCCGGGTTGTGGGTTTGATCCCCAGTAGAGGGCGTGCAGGAGGCAGCTGATCCATGATTCTCTCTCATCATTGATGCTTCTCTCTCTCTCCGACTCCCTTCTCTGAAATCAGTAAACATATATTTAAAAAGAACACCCCTCCCTCACAGGCAATGGCTGGCAGGAGCTCTCCTGGCCTCACCAACTTGTGTCTGTTCGTCCCTTCCTTCCTCCCTTACATCCGCTTTCGGTCATGTTATCTTACCGCTTTTGCCCACGATTCCCGTTCTTTCCTCTAACACTTCACTCAAACGTGTCCCTTCCTGAAACAGAGAGAACTGAATTCCTTTCCGACCCGTCCGCCTCCTCGGACCTTGGACGCGCGCCTTCTCTCTCAGTTACGGGAAATGATAGACGCTCAGCGCCCGCGGGACACTCTTTGGTGGGACAGACAGAGACTCCGCGTGTCTAAACCAGTTCCCTCTCTCGTCCTGTCGAGTGGGTGTCTGCCTTTGGACACATGCCCGCGTGTTCCTGTTTGATTGTGAATCATGTGAGGGAGGCCCCTGGCAAGGCAGTCACCTGTGAAATGTGTATCAATCCTCCTCCGTCTCAGTATGAGGAGGAGCGTACCCCATCTTAGGGGCCTGCGAGGCCTTTGAGAATCGAACCTAACAGGAGAAAGGAAGAGAAAGTGCTTTTTGCAGGAGCTGGTACAGGCTTCCACCGGATGTTCCAGCTTGAGCGTCGGTCAGCCAGCGCCACGGCCGCTGTGGAGACACGGTTCTAAGCACGTCCCCGGCGGGTCTCCGCCCGGAGCCTCTGCAGGAAGAGACGTGAGCCTCACAAGTCCCCGTGAGAAGGCGGAGAAAGCGGGGGGGGGTGGGTGGGGGTGGGGGGAGCGGGGCTCGGCGACATGCTGTCCCTTCAGACGGATGGACCCTGGAAAGGGTCGGGAGGAAGCAGTTTCTCACCCGCAGCCGAGGGCTCCCCGGGAATTGACCAAACCTTCGCCTTTCGTCTAAAACCCAGCTTCTGGGGAGTTTCATAAACGCCTGTTATTCACACGATGTGCCTATAGCGCAGGCCTTGGCACGTGTAGACCCCTCTAGACCTAAGGAAAACCTGTGTCTCTGCTCGCCCTTGTGTGTGCGATTCTTCGCTGCCTTGACGTTGCTTTTCTGTTTTTAAGCCCTAACGCTGTCCGTGTTTGACGTGTGCGACTTGATGCATCTGCACATACATGTCCATCGTGAAGCCTTCCCCACAATCGGTGTCACGAACATATTCACGCCTTCAGGGGTCTCCGCCTTCCCCTTCACCACGAGGGCGACGGCACGTCTCAGGTCTGCCCTCTGAGCAGATGCTGAGCGACAGCGCGACACGGGACGGCACCGCTGCCCATGCAGACCCACGGGGTTTACGCCGGTGTCACGGCCGACACGCAGACCCACAGGGTTTACGCCGGTGTCACGGCCGACACGCAGACCCACAGGGTTTACGCCGGTGTCACGGCCGACACGCGGACGGAGACCCGACTTCCCCGCCTCCCAGCCCCCACCCCCTGCTCCTCTGTCTCCGTGAGTCCGAGCTGCCAGCCGCCCCTCAGGTGCCCCCGTGGTGTTCGCCCTTCGTGTCTGGCTCGTTTCACGTACATGACGCCCTCCAGGCTCACCCGTGTGCCACCAGTGGCGGGATTTCTTTCTTGATGTAATTTTCCTTTCTCCTCTCCCAAGGATGCCTTTTTCCACTGAGAGTGGAAAGAAGGAGGGGAGGAGAGAGAGAGAGAGGGAGAGAGAGAGAGAGAGAGGAACATCGATGTGAGAGAGACACATGGACTGGTTGCCTCCCACGTGCACCCAGACTGGGGCTGGGGATCAAACCTGCAACCCAGGTACATGCCCGTGAGCGGGAGTCGAACCCACGACCCTCCCGTGGGAGGGCCGACCCTCTAACACTGAGACGCCGGCCAGGGCGCGAGTTCCTTCCGAGTAAAGGCTGGACAACCTCCCGCTGTGTGTGCAGGCCCTGTTCTCTCCGTCCCCGGTTGACGGACCTGCGGCTGCTGCTGTGTCCTGCTCATTGTCAGTGATGCTCCCCAGACGTGACAGCAGAGGGCGCCGTTCCCGTGTGGAGTGGGAGGTGCTGAGCCTGCTGCCTCTCATGGACACGGGGCGCCCTTTCCTCCGGCCTCACACTCCTGTTCGCTGCCCTGTTGGTGACAGCCGCCCGGCAGGGGGAGCCGCAGCCCACTGGCCTTGTCCTCAGCCGTCCTGCGGTCCACAGTGAGCAATGCCACGAACGTCGCGTGCCCTGGCTGAGCCCGGTTAACAGGACCTCTGCTCACCGAGTGGGAGCCACAGGGGCTGTGACGTGAGGGAAGGAGCCGCTTCGAGACGAGGTGAAGCCGGGGGACCTGGAGCAGCTGCTGGAGAGGCTCCCGGGGGCTATCTCTGTCGCAAAGGTGTTCTGAGGGCGAGTCTTGCATCGTTAGGGGGTCCCCAGACCTACGGGTAGATGGGCCCTCAGAGCTTCCTTTAACAGGCAGCATCAGGATAGAACGTAACATTTCAGTCATTTCAAGCATTTGTTTTCGAAAGTTTGGTTCTTCAGAGCAAGAGAGAGAGAGAGAGAGAGAGAGAGAGAGAGAGAGAGAGAGAACCAGGCTCTGAATTTCAGTTTGATTTTTTGTGATTCTCATCCTTGGTTGCCTCTCACACAAGCCCTGACTGGGGGCCAGGGATCAAACCCACAACCAAGGTGGGTGCCCTTGACCGGGATTGAACCCGAGACCATTTGGTCCGAGGGCAACGCTCCAACCCATGAGCCACCGGGCCAGGGCGGGAGAAGCAGGCTGTGAGGTGAGACGTGCGTCTCCTGTGGGTCCGCAAATGGCCAGCCCCACCCTCCGCGCCGAGCGGCGGGGCCTGGGTCAGGGGCTGTGGCTCTTCTGCTCGCAGAGCCGCTCCGGGGCAGTTTCGAGGCTCACACACAACGAAGGAAAGTGAACTCCCCGCAGGTTGCCGGCCTTCCAGCCCCTGTGAGAACCTTCTCCTCGGGCCCCGCGGAGCCCGTGCTGCGGAGGCACCACCACGCGGGTCCCCTTCTCCTGCGATGCCTGCACCCACGTCCGTGTCTGTGAGGAGGAGGAGCTACGTCTTCTCAGCTTCCTGCACCCGAGGCTGCAAAGTGACAGCTCCCAGGAGCGACCTGCAGTGAGTGTTTGCTGGCGACTCACCCCAGACGGCTCTGCGTTTACGGCAAATTAAACCGCGTGAAACTGGCGGCGGGTCAGACAGGGTCAGCTGCTTCCATTAGAAAACGCGTTCCGTTTAAAATAAAACCCCTCGTTCAGTCCCTGGACCAGTCCCGCCAAGTGCACGATTTTATCCAGTTACAGAAATGAAAACCCTCCCTGAGCTCAGGCCCGCGGGGGTCTCATGGCTCCCAGATTCCTCCAGAGACCTGGCCTCCCATCTTCCCTGACACATGTTTTCCCAAAGGTCCTGCGTGTCCAGGCCCACCTGGCGGCTCCTCCCGAAGGACCTCACTCACTCACCCACCAGACCCACCGACCGCGGTTTCCTGTGGGTGGACACGCAGCTTCTGCGCCAACAGTGAGCTTCCCCCGCTTCCCACATGGCTCCGGGGCCGGTGGCTTGTGCTCCCCGGAGACGCACGGCCTGGCCCCGTCACTGCCCTTGTTGCCGCCCACGTGGGCGACAGCGGGAGCTGCCAGCGTGGCCCGAGGCAGGGAGTCCCGTCTCACCGCTCTGCAGTCGGAGCTCCATGCATATGGTTCCCAGGAAGCCGAACAGCATCCCCGAAGCCACAGGGGGACCAGCACCGAGGAGGGGACGTGGTCTCCCCTCCCCTCCCTGCTTCCCGCCCGCAAACACCAATGACACAGGGGACACGGGAGACACCACACGCTCCCCGCCCACCCCCGACGGCGGTGGAGGAGCAGCTTCCTCTCCCTAAACGCGGCGCCTGCACAAACAACACGGCAGCCGCAGCTCATCACAGACAGCGTTTATTTCAACGCCGCGTCCACGCGAGACGGTGACGGGACAGCGCCAGGAGGAGAGGGACAGCCTCAGGAGTGGCCGAGCTCCGGCTCCCAGGCCGGCAGAGAAGGCCCCGGGGGCTGGGCCCCAGGAAGCGGGGTTCAGGAGGCTGCGAGGCGGGTCCAGCTGAGGCCGAGGCCGGACATCCCGGGGTGCTGCTCAGGTGCAGGCGTCCCCGTCCCCGTGGGTCAGAGCCCGTCAGTAAGTCTGTCCGTAGCAGCCCGAGCCGCAGGCCGGCTGGAAAGAGGGGGCCTGGTAGGTCCTGGACGAGGAGAAGTAGGTGGGACGGCAGTAGCCGGCCCCACAGCCCGGGGACTGGGCAGCGGAGCCTCCGTAACCGAAAGGCCCGAGGCCGGTGCTGCCGCAGCCCAGGGAGCCTGGGCAGGTGGCCCCGTAGGACCGGCGGAGCGAGGAGGACCTGCGGCCGTAGGAGGGTGCCTGGTAGCCGGCGGGCTCCCAGCAGGTCTCCTGGCAGCCGTAGGGCGGGGAGTCCTGCTGGCAGGTGCCCTGGGCGTACGCTACGTTGCCGGGGTAGACATTGCCAGAGCAGGCGCTGCCGGGGTAGACATTGCCAGAACAGGCGTTGCCGGGGTAGACATTGCCGGGGTAGAAAGAGCCGCAGGAGGAGGCCGGGTACCGCAGGCAGCCGCCCAGGGAGCGGGAGGAGAGGGTCCGGGAGCTGAGGCTGCAGGACATGCTGTCGGGCTCTGTTCTGGTTCTGGTTCTGGGCTGAGCGGAGGTGCAGGGAGGACCTGTGACTGTGGCGATGGCTCCTGTGCCGGCACTTTTATACCCGGACTGGGGTCCGGCACAAGATGCTCAATTAGGCTCCAGCCGAGAGCCATGCCTGACCTTCAAAGGCCTCTTTGTGGAGGTGGCGGGTAATGAGAGGGGCGCGCGAGGCTTTCAAAGCTGCTGTTCACGAGGCACACACGTCTCCCCATTCATCTCGCTTGGGCGGGTGGAGGTAATTGCGCCGTAATTGTACCCGCAGCCCCGGCGTTTGTTCTTCCCTCTGCGAATGGGCGGCAGCACCTGGGCACCGTGGTGATCATTGTGTGTCCAAGGCTCTAAAAATGCTTTGGAGTCTGGAGGGGCATTTAATTTGTTCCGGTTTAGGAACCCCAACCAAGAACAGGAAAAATTCACCCCCAGTGTCTGCTTCAACTCCCCAGTCGGTGCACCTGGTAGGAAAATGACCCGGGTACAGCCTTGGTGGGGAGAGATGCTACGTGAGTGTCTGACATGTTCGTGAGTTTTCTTACAGCCCAAGTGCCCCAGCCACTCTTGTGTACGTGGATTTATTTTTAATATTTTAATTATTACTATTATTGGCAGGTACAGTGCACATTCAGTACAGTCTGTGTTCGTCTCGGATGTGGAGCAGAGTGAATGTCCAATTGTGGACTATGCAGAGTGACCCCCTATTTCCCGCGCCCACCTGGCACCACACATAGTTCTTCATTATTATTTACTAGAGGCCCCGGTGCACGAAATTCATGCGCGGATAGGGTCCCTAGGCCTGGCCGGCGATCAGGGCCGATCTGCAGGGCGACTGGCGGGGCGATCAGGGGGCCCCCACTGGCACCCGCCTTGGCTGGCCTGGGGCCTGTGGGCTGGGGGCAGCTCCTGTGTAGAGCGTCTGCCTCCTGGTGGTCAGTGCGCGTCATAGTGAGCAGTCATTCCACTGGTCGATTTGCATATTAGGCTTTTATTATATAGGACTAGAGGCCCGGTGCACAAAAATTTGTGCACTCGGGGGAAAGGGGGGTCCCTCAGCCCGGCCTGTGCCCTCTCGCAGTCTGGGACCCCTCGGGAGATAAAGACCTGCTGGCTTAGGCCTGCTCCCGGGTGGCAGAGGGCAGGCCTAATCCCTAGGTGCAGCCCCTGGTCGGGCTCAGAGGAGGGCTGATTGGGGAGTTGGGGCGCCACCCCTGTCATGCACAGAGCAGGGCGGATTGGGAAGTTGTGATACCACCCTCAGTCATGCTCAGGGTAGGGCCGATTGGGGGGTTGGGGCACTGCCCCCTGTCACACTCAAGGCAGGGTTGATGGGGAGGTTGCGGCACCACCCCCTGTCATGCACAGAGAAGGGCCAATCAGGGGATTGGGGCACTCCCCCCGTCACTCACAAAGCAGGGCCCATCAGGGGGGTTGGGGCTCCGTACCCCGTCACGCACAGAGCAGGGCCGATCAGGGGTTGGGGAGCTCCCCCCTGTCACTCACAGAATAGGGCCGATAGGGGAGTTGGGGCACCGCCCTCTGTCACACACAGAGCAGGGCCGATCAAGGGGTTGGGGCGCCGCCACTGTCACACTCAGGGCAGGGCCGATGGGGAGGTTATGGTTCTACCCTGTCACACACAGAGCAGGGCCTGTGGGGGGTGGTTGGGGTGCCACGCCCTGTCACACACAGAGCCGCAGGGTGATCAGGGGGTTGGGGAGCTCCCCCCTATCAGGCACAGAGCAAGGCTTATCAGAGGGTTGGGGTGCCTTCCCCTGTCATGAACAGAGCAGGGCCGATAGGGAGGTTGTGGCCCCGCCCCCTGTCCACACAGAGCCGCAGGGCAGTCAGGGGGTTTGGGCGCTGCCCCCTGTCACGCTGATCCCGGTGCTGGGAGGCCTCTTGGCTCCGCTGATCCCGGTGCTGGGAGGCATATTACCCTTTTACTATATAGGATAGAGGCCTGGTGCACGGGTGGGGGCCGGCTGGTTTGCCCTGAAGGGTGTCGTGGATGAGGGTGGGGGTCCCCACTGGGGTGCCTGGCCAGCCTGGGTGAGGGGCTGATGGCTGTTTGCAGCTGGTCACACACCCTTCAGGGTGGGGGTCCCCACTGGGGTGCCTGGCCAGTCTGGGTGAGGGGCTGAGGGCTGTTTTCAGGCTGGCAGATGACTGAAGCTCCCAACCACTTCTTTCTTCCTTTTTTTTAAAATTCTGGGCCAGCTTTAGCTCTGGCTTCAGCTCTTAGGCCTCTGCTGCTGAAAGCAGGTTTCTGGCTTTTGTTTACCTTCTGTATTTGAAACAATGTTGCGATCCTGCTGGCTGAAGCCTGGCCGACTAAAGCAGGTTTCTGGGGTTTTGTTTAGCTTCTATATTTATAACATAGTTGCTTAGAGTTGCAGCTCAGAGGCCGGCAGCGGCAGGCGGGGAACATTGGAGTCCTCTGTCACTGAAGCAAGCAAGCCTCATGTTCGCTTCCAGCTGCCTGGCTGCCGGCCGCCATCTTGGCTGAAAGTTAATTTGCATATTGCCCTGATTAGCCAATGGGAAGGGTAGCGGTCGTATGCTAATTACCATGTTTCTCTTTTATTATATAGGACTAGAGGCCCAGTGCACAAAAATTTGTGCACTCGGGGAGGAGGGGGCATCCCTCAGCCCAGCCTGTGCCCTCTCGCAGTCTGGGACCCCTCGGGAGATAACGACCTGCTGGCTTAGGCCCTGCTCCCGGGTGGCAGAGGGCAGGCCCAATCCCTAGGTGCAGCCCCTGGTCGGGCTCAGAGCAGGGCCGATTGGGGAGTTGGGGCGCCGCCCCCTGTCATGCACAGAGCAGGGCGGATCAGGAGGTTGCGATGCCACCCTCAGTCACGCTCAGGGTAGGGCCGATTGGGGGGTTGGGGCACCGCCCCCTGTCACACTCAAGGCAGTGTCGATGGGGAGGTTGCGGCGCCACCCCCTGTCACGATGGGGAGGGTGTCAGAGCGAGTGATAGGGACACAGAACGAATGTCTTTGGGGTCCATGGTGGTGCCTGAATTGGTGCCGTGCACTCTGCCTAGAGGACAGGACCCCCATATCCTCCCAGATGCCCCCTAAGTTCCTCAGGCAACTAAGAATAGGGCCGCCCAGGGCAGGAAATGGCTTAATAAACCTGGGAGGAGGGGCCTCCCCTTAAAACACCCGCCTCCCTGGCTGATATGCTGCTCAGTGGGATGAGCTGGGGCTGCTCTAGAGGGACTGAGACCCTGGGTGGGGGTTTTAAGGGAAACCTTAGCTAAACATGTAACAGGAGCCACTATTGCTCCGGCCACTGGCTTAGAGGTCAGAGCACTGGCCTGCCCACCAGGGATCGCAGGTGTGATTCCTGGTCAAGGGCATGACCTGGGTTGCAGGACCCTCAAGATCAATGTTTCTCTCTCTCTCTCCATACTTCCCTTCCTCCCTCCCTCCTTCCCTTCCACTCTAACAAAATTGATGGAAAAAAATATCCTTGGGTGAGGATTAACAACAACAACAACAACAAAGGAGCAGCTACGTTTGTGGGCGATGAGATTTCACCCCGAGGGCCCAGGAGTCCTAGTCAGGATCCTGTGATGGGTTCCAAGGCTCCAACCTGGAGCTCATTGCTAAAGCGAGTTCAGATCACAGATGTTAGACTCTTCTGATAGGCAAACTGGCCTTCAACCAAGTTTCATTTACTAGTTAACACAGTCCATCCTCAGTTTATACAATAAACATTCCTCACTTATTAGGCTCCTTAATTATGAACAGCAAGAAGCATTCCACTAGCTTCTAAGCCTTCCTGTTTTGTTTATCAAAAAAATTGAACATTAAAACATCCATATGAATATTGAATTCACCTAATTGAAGTTGCTTCAATGTCATCCTCTCTTATGTAACCTACTACAGGCCCGGTGCATAAAATTTGTGCACTTGCGGGGGGGGGGTCCCTCAGCCTAGCCTGCACCCTCTCTCAGTCCAGGAGCCCTTGGGGGATGTCCAACTGATGGCTTAGGCCTGCTCCCTGACTAAGCCATCTGTGGGCCATCCTAGCGCTGCCACAGAGGTGAGAGAGGCTCCCACCATCATCGCTGTGCTCACCAGCCGTGAGCCCGGCTTCTGGCTGAGTGGTGCTCCCCCTATGGGAGCGCACTGACCATCAGGGGGCAGCTCCTGCATTGAGTGTCTGCTCCATGGTGGTCAGTGTGCATCATAGAGATCAGTCGTTCCGCTGTTCAGTTGATATGCATATTACCCTTTTATTACATAGGACTAGAGGCCTGGTGCATGAAAATCGTGCATGGGAGGGGGGTCCCTCAGCCCGGCCTGAACCCTCTCCAATCCGGGACTGCTGGCTCCTAACCACTTGCCTGCCTACCAGCTTGATCGCCGCCTAACCACTCCCCTGCCAGCCTGATGGCCCCCAACTGCCCTCCCCAGCCAGCCTCCTGGCCCCCAACTGCCCTCCCCTGCTGGCCTGATTGCCCCTAACCGCCTCTGCCTTGGCCCCCACCACCATGGCTTTGTCCGGAAGGAAGTCGGACAGTAGGAGGATGTCTGGTCTCCCAGTCTAATTAGCATATTACCCTTTTATTGGTATAGATTTCTGTGGGAGAATATTGTGCAATCTGATATTAAGGAATATTGAACATTTTCTCCTCAACAAAATGGAGGTTTTGCACCCAAACACTGCTGTTGGGAAGCTCATGGGGAACGATTTTCTATAACATAGATACATCGACGGCCCTGCAGCCCGGCCAGTGAAGGTGTCCAGTCTCTCCTCTTCCCCGGGCACCCATCTTCATCTCCCCGCTGCACAGAGCTGGGCACAGACGCGCAACTGGAAACACACGCCACGACCCTGAAAACCGTGCAATACCTGCCAGAACCTCCGACCAGCTCCATGTGAAGGGCGGTCTGCTGCCTCTGAAGGGAAGGAATCCCGGGAGAGGCCCCTCCGCCCCATGACGAAGGCCACACCCCCTTCGACCTCCTTTAGAGCAAGACAGCGTCCCTGGCTGAGCCCGGTCGGTGCGAGCACTGCCTCTCGCCAGAGG